CTATTTGTTTTGCTGAATGATATTCAGTTTCTTGTATTTTGTTTTCCTCACTCAGCACCTTGAGGAACGGTCTCTAAGTCCTCCAGCATTGCTCTAGTTGTTTTCAATAGTGTATAATATCACCTGGTATAAATGTACTACAACGTATGCACCGAGACCTCAAGTATGAATACTCACTTTCTTTCCACGGGAGAAATTTTCCACATTCATCAAATATAAATGTGTCACACTTTTGCCTAATGCTCCTGACTCACATCCGATTCAACAATCTTTAAGAACACGTGTCGATTTGAAGAATATAATCAGCTGCTATTACTTCCAAGATGTCATGCTGACCCACCATCAAATTGTCGGCGCAGCTTGGTGCCCTTGTTCCCCACACAGAGTCACAATCAGTCCTTTGTATTCTCTGGCGTTTGTTGTCTGATTGCAGTTCTGAATTTGGGTGACAGCCAAAGACTGGGTGCCTAACCAGGAAGCAACTCAACGTATTAGAAAGGGGCCAGTCTTTGGGACATACAAACCACCACTTATAAGTTGGGAGATTTGGATTAATACTCGCCGGGCCAGGCACGGTGGCTCACACCTATAATCCCAGCCCTTTGGGAGGCTGAGGTGGGTGGATCACGAGGTCAAGAGATCGAGACCATCCTGGTCAACATGGTGAAACCCCGTCTCTACTAAAAATACAAAAAATTAGCTGGGCACGGTGGCGTATGCCTGTAATCCCAGCTACTCAGGAGGCTGAGGCAAGAGAATTGCCTGAACCCAGGAGGTGGAGGTTGCAGTGAGCCGAGATCGCACCATTGCACTCCAGCCTGGGAACAAAAGCGAAACCCCGTCTCAAAAAGAAAAAAAAAAAGATAAATACTCACCTTCCCCCAGCCCCAATTTTTTTTGCCTTTTAGATAGAAATCATGATACCAACCACATAGAGCATTAAATAGATTATGGGTGCACAGGGCCTGGTCCCAGGGGGGCCCACTGCCCAGGTGACTTTTCCTAGCCCCAAATTTTAAATCATGTTGGACTTGAAGGAGAAAAGTTCAAATTGATCAATAAGGGATGTCAGGGGCAAACAGTCCACCTCAGATAAGCAAACAGAAACAAGTTGTTTTGGGAATAATTGGATGCCCTGTCTTTGTTTGCAGAGCAGCGTGTGCACCACGATGTTTAAGGCAGCTTATTGATGGCAATGTCCATATCACTGGTGAGCCATAGCAGGAGAGGGGTGTGGCTGTGGGAGGGGTCCAGTAAGCAGGGAGCTGATGGAGGTTTAGGATTAGGACCTGACAAAGGAATGCTAGGGTAAGGATGAAGGAGGTACCAGCGGCCTGAACCCTCCTGCACTCTGGCCCACAGACTTGATGTGGCAGGAACAGGTGGGTTGGCATTCCTCCACTTGGCAGCAGAGGTCACTTCCTGTCCTCTCCCCACACCATACATCACACTTTCCAACTCCACCCCACTCAACCCCCCACAAGAAGAAGAAAGAGGAAATGACCTCCACAGCACAGGTCTGTTACGGACTGATGTGTGTCCCCCAAAATTTAGACACTGAAGCCCTATCACCCCAATGGGATGATGGTATTTAGATATGGGGACTTTGGGAGGAGATTAGGGCTAGACGAAGTCACAGGGTAGGGCCATTAATCCTCTATGATGGGATTAATGGTCTTATAAGAGAAAGAAAAAGACTAGAGAGCACAGTGCACTCTCACTTTCTCTCACTCCCTCCTTGCCATGGGAGGACACAGCAAGAAGGTGGCAGTCTGCAAGCCAGCAAGGGAGGCCTCACCAGGAACCACATCAGCTGGTACCTTGATCTCGGACTTCCAGCTTCCAGAATTGTGAGAGATAAACATCTATGCCATTCTGTTATGGAAGCCAGAGCTGGCTGAGACTGCAGCCCTGCCTTTCCTTTCTAGGGTCCCAGGAACAAAAACCCAGAGTGCTGTCAACATATCTGATACCCAAAATGGAGTCCTATAGCCAACATGAGCCACGTGCCTCATCTCTTGCCACGTTCTGGTAGGGGGGATATAGCTGTGGCCAAGACTAGTGGAGAAGCGTCTGGGGTGCTCACAGGCAGGGCCTGACAAGGAGCCCTCTTGTGGACAACTTACCCTGAATATCTCAGGACTCTGAAATATTCCTCAGCATCCGCCCTCCTTGGTGCTAGGCATGGTGTCTTGCACACAGTGGGAGCTTTATATGTGTTTTGGTGAGACACTGATTGGAAATAATAGATGGCGAATACATGCAGATATGGAGAGAGACGGAACCAGCAGTTGCCTGGATTGGAGGAAAGGGTGAATTCCCGCCCCAATCCCACCCTGTCCACGGCTATGAATTACTCTGCAGTGGGGAGGGGGATTCCTTCATTAAAATTTCCAAAAAGAGAGTCACATTAACAGCCAGGCGCACTGTTCTTTCCCCTCAAGGTAAGAAGATTTATTGCCCAAACTTACATTTTATCGCGCACAACCGAATAAAAATGATCGATTTCCCTGCCCGCCTTACAGCATCCTTCCAGTTATTAAAGTCTCTAAAAATGTTTTCTTTAAAAAAAGGTTAAAAGAAAGAGAGGTGGAGAGAGTGCAAGCCAAGAAGAAGCTGGGAAATGCTGCCTAGCTGAGGGCTATCCATCTTGTCAGCTGTGGACCACATAACCTTGATGTCACTATATTTTCTGCTCGTATCCAAATTTACAATTTGCCAGCCAAGGAGATGGAAATGCCAGACCTCCCCCTTGGAGGTGGATGCTGGAAGGTTCTTAAAGAGTCCGAGAGAGAGGAGTATCCTAACTTTGAAAACTCCAAAAAGACACTGAACCTACCGCTGAGCTCTTAGCAATTTTCCCTGAGTTGGGAAAAACTGGCCTCCAAGGTCAAGAAGATGGATTTCAACTCCAGGGCCACAAACATATCCAGCAAGAGCCCCTTTGTTCACTGAAGAACAAACCAGGTTTCCATTTTGGAGGGCTAGAAATGTACCTGCGCAAGTTAGGGAATGGGAGAGTTGGGCCATGCAGCAGGCAAGGTGTAAACCAGAGTGAAAGAGACGTGTTTAACCTACAGGAAAGAGGAAGCCCCACGCCAGCCCTGCAGAGCTCCCCCTTGCATACAAACACACAAATGGGTAATTATACATCATTCATCTGTTTGTTCTAGTGGGTCCCCAAGAACCTGTGGTTTGCCATTTTGGTAATTTCATTTTACTAAGTGCCAAGTAATACAATTGTATATCACCCCATTTGTGAATTCCTTCAGGACAAGATTCTTTCTCTCCCATACACACACACACACACACACACACACACACACACACACACACACACGGTGCTTTCTGTAGGGCTCTATTTAGGTCTATTTACTTGAGAATGGTAAAACTGTGCTTTAAAATTTCATAATTCGACTGCACACAGTGGCTCACACCTATAATTCCAGCACTTTGGGAGGCAGAGGCAGGCAGATCACCTGAGGTCAGGAGTTTGGGAGGTGGAGGTGGGCGAATCACCTGAGGTCAGGAGTTCAAGAACAGGCTGACCAACATGGTGAAACCTCATCTCTCCTAAAAACACAACATTTGCTGGGAGTGGTGGCACATGTCTGTAATCCCAGCTACTTGGGAGGCTGAGGCAGGAGAATTGCTTGAACCCAGGAGGCAGAGGTTGCAGTGAGCTGAGATCACACCACTGCACCCCAGCCTGGGTCTGGGCAACAAGAGCAAAACTGTCTCAAAAAAAAAATTCCATAATTCACAATTTGTTACCAGGTCAATCTGGTCTCTTTCTAAATTAGTGCTCATTAGTCAGGTCTTCCTGAACTTGTTTCTGAGCGAATCTGGACATCTGTCCTTTGCTCACACTTTGTTTATACTCACACTTCCACTCTGACTTCTGGAAGGTTCCCCACATTGTAGATGGGGCTCTGGGGCCCTGCAGCATAGTCAGAGGGTTGCAGCCTCCCAGGAAGGCCCCCTCCATCGCTCTAAGTTTTCCACACTTGTGAGAGCCTTGTATCCTTTTGGGAGTGTTTTCCTGGCATGGCCTGGAAGACAGCCATGAATCTGTCTCGGGCCATTTGACTCGAGCTCCCAATGCCAACCCTAACAGACGCTTCCATCAGGCCTGACGCGTCAACGATCTATAAGCCATTAACCAGCAATATCAGACCTCCCAGCCTCAGCCTCCTCTGAGAGAACGAATACAGAGGGGAAGGGGGAAGGAGGGAGGAGAGAAGAGGTACAGAGAGAGGGAAGATGTGGGAATGCCAGGTCCTCCGTTTCCTATAAGGATAAGTGATTGATGATTGATGATGATGATAAGACAGCAGCTAACAATGACAGAGCTCACTGTGTTTCAAGTACTCTTCTAAATGCACTGCGTATGGTAGCACATCTAATCCCCACAACAACCCAAAGAGATACACTGTTATACTCACTTTGCAAGTGGGGGAAACTGAGGCAGGGAGTGCTTCAGAGACATTCTGAGGTTCCAGTGCAGGTGGGTGGCAGAGCTGGGGGTTTAGCCCAGTTGCTCGGCTCCAAAATCTGTGCTCTCAGCCACACTATGAGGTGCCTCTCACCGTGACCAGGAAGTCAAAGTCAAAAGAGATGGAACGAGTTCAGCTCAAAACAGGCAAGAGTCCTAGTTCCCTGTGGATGGTGGCTGCACTGTGGGGGCTGGCCTGCAGCTCACCAGGCAAAGCAGAGCAGCTTTCCCAGAGATTCCCTGCTCAGGCCACAGAGGCAAAGATCTATTCCTTCTAGAAATAATAGTGTCTAAGCTGCTTCCTCAGTCAGAGCCCCTCAGACCATTTGTCACTTCAGGTCCACAACCTCGGAGGTGGTTCTTAATGGCCACAGTCTCAGCTGCAGCTCCCCTCACCCTGGCCAAATAAAGGGGAAAGATCTTTCCAGACTCCTCATGTGCCAAGAACCCCTTCTCACACAGGAGAGATGGGATGGGATGGGATGGAATGAAATGGAATGGAATGGGATGGGATGGGATGGGATGGGATGGGATGGGATGGGATGGGATGAAATGGGATGGGAATGGGATGAAATGGGATGGGATGGGATGAAATGGGATGGGAATGGGATGAAATGGGATGGGATGGGATGGGATGGGATGGGATGGGATGGGATGGGATGAGGCAGAACAAGATGGAATGGGTGCTAGGGGAGGAGACAGAAGGGAAGGGACAGAGTGACATGGGACAGGGTGGGAGGAGAGGAAAGGGAAGGAAAGGCACACAATGGGATGAGATGGGAGGGTAAAATGGGAATGGGGTGGAAAGGGACAGAAAAGGGATAATACGCGATGAGTTGAGAAGGTAAAAGGTGGACAGTGTCTCTTTAAACTATCCATACACTCCCACTACCCCTTTTTCATAGAAAATTATAGACAGTCATGAAAACAGAAACATTACTACAGCCCCAACACCTCCCATGTGGCACAATACATGGCCCACTGCCATTGGCCAGGATTGAAAAGATTCCCTGATAGGTAGAGGAGCTCCCACACCCTTGCAGGCTGCCTCCAGAGGCCTCTTCCCAAGCTCTCCCCTCGAGCCTTGGGCCCCAACCTACCTGGACCCACCCCTCCTTTAAGGCCAACTCAATCCTTACCTCTTCCAGGAAACCTTCTTCGACTATATCCTTCCTTTGTCTCACTCCAAGCTCTGTTTAGCATTTGTCACCCAATTTAACACTTGCTGCTGTACAATGCTGTATTGATCTTTAATCTTGTAATCCAGATCTATAGCATATAGCCTGTGCTTCTGACCGGTGGCAATCCTGAATGAATTTAATTCCTACAGCATTTAAGAGGCAGACTCAGAATGGTGGCGCATTAACCCTCATGTTACAAACATGGAAACAGGCTTGGAGAAGTCAAGGGACGTGCCTGGCACCTCGTGGCTGGTGAGCCAGAGAGCTGGGGCACCCAGTGCTTGGCATCCTGGCTCCCTCCACTATAGTGTGGGGAGCTTCCTGCCTTAGTTGGGGTTTGCCTAAAAACAGGCCCCCCAACAAGGATGGGGTTTATCTGGGAGGTGGTCACAGGAAGCACTGTGAGGAAGGGGAGAAGTAAGAAGAGGAAGAGGAAAGCCAATTACAGATGTGCCAAGGAGCAGGGTTCCCTTGTCTGTAATGGGGACCTAACCCCTCCAGGATTCTGAGGGGCTGTAGAACTCATCAGGAAGCCAGGCCATTTCTCTAGGAGCCCCTGTCCCTCAGAGCTGAGAGCCCCACTTAGGGAGTTCACTCACTCCCAGCACTTCCAGCCTGCCCTGCAGGGCTAAGCCCCTTCCACGACCAAAGAACCCCTAAAAGCAAAGAGCAGTGGTTGCTGGGGTGCAGAGCCTTTGTGTGTGCATGAACTGTCCACCACAGCTGGGGTATCCTCTGGGTGGGTCAAGGAAGGAAGGGCAGGCCACCCACAGGGAATGCCACATTTGGGAAACACTTGCTCATCCATGGGAGTAGACCTGGGGGCCCCAACTTCCTTTCACATCTGTGTCCAGTTCTCTTTTTGGTAGGAACAAATCTCTGCTTCAAGGTGTCAGATGAAAGGAGGGTGCCCCCCACCCTCTTCTCACCCCAGGGACTTTGATGGTGATAAAGAAAGTCTGATGACATGTGGCAGGTGATATTTGGGGGTGGCACCCATTCTAGCTGTCTTCTCCACATGTGCAAGAAAAGGCCTCCTGACATAGTAGCCTGGCTTCTCCTGTGGGCCCTTCTCGCTGGGCACCTCCCATTTGCAGAGCACCGAGTGAGGAACCATGTGGGTGTCGGGACAGACAGGAAGATGAAGCAGATCCCTCCTAGGCCCCATGTTCCTCAGGGAGGGCAGATGGGGGCCTGGGAGCTGGCCAGCCCAGCAGGTATGATGGACTCTGTGCATGGGGATCTCATAGGGGGCCCAGGAGTGCCCAGCACAGGTGGCCATAAAGAGGAAATACGAGCAGGAGTCATCTGGTATGTGACACAATTCCTGATATGCTTTACCCAGGCAGGGCATGCCCTGAGTTTACAAGGCAAATGCACTTATCACTTCTGCCTCCTGTTGCAAGAGCCCTCAGCTGGGAAATCCAGGCCTCTCCATGTGGCTTGCTTCCAAAGGGTGCCCTGTACATATCCTCTGCTCCTCCCTGCACACACATGCATGCACGAGCATGCACAAAAGCATGTGCGCACAAACATCCTCACAGATGCTGGCAGACATGGAAAGCACCTGGATAAAAGACAGCCAATACATGGCCAAATCCCAGCCGCCCCTCTGCCTCTGCCTCTGCTTCTGCCTACTCTGAGTCCTGGGATGAATCACGTCCCTCACTGGGCCTCATTTCTCTCCTCTGTGTCATGATCATTCTAAAGAACCCCCAGGGATGCTCAGCTCCCCGTCCAGAGCAGTTACAGCCCCATGATGGGCAGCAGAGGCATCTGTTGGCTCTCTCCCCCAAGGAAGCATAGTCTGCCTTTGGGCACCACCTGCCATGCTGGTAGCCCAGACCTGCCAGGAGAAAGAAGCAGGTGCCTGTGTGGTCAGTGGCATCCTGCTTTGCCCTTTTTGCAACACAGATGAAGACCTCGGATTAGGTTGATCTGATCCAGCATGGAAAGAATGTCAAACACCCGCTCATTGAAATGACACATGAGCCAGCAAGCCAACCCTTTCTCCCTTCAACCCTGCTTGTATCAGCAGAGAGGGTCGTGTTTCTGGTGGCTTTGGGATGGTACCTGGGAAGCTGGGAGAGGCGATTCCCCAGATCCCCCTCTGCCCATGTCATTGTGGGGAACAGTATCAGGACCTGGGAGGCAAGCTCTTTGCAGAAGGGATTTTTAGCAGGAACCTGTTCCCCAATCCCCTGATGGTAGGCCTAAACCAAAGGGTTCCTGGGAAACAGACCCTCATAGCCAGCCACTGGCCTATGAAGACACAGCTCGGATGCCCAGGTACATGGAGGACTCTTCCAGGGAGATAGCAGTGAACTGAGCCTCCAACAGCCCACCAGTGTGGACCAGGACAGCCCACTATGGGACATACCCTCCCACAGCGGGCCATTGCTTTGCATTTGCAGGATTTGATTTTTGTTTGCTGGGATTATGGAGCCTGCATATAGTTCCTGATTTTTGCAAAGCACATCTCAGACTTCTCACCTGTTAGCACTCCCCAGTATCACAGCCAAGTGGATGATTATCACCACACCCCAGGTGGGGAAACTGAGGCTTCGGGAGTAGGAGAGACTGAGTTAAGGCCATGCAGTGAGTGATCAGCTGCCCTTTGCCGCCTACATACATTCCTTGCCAAGCTCTCTGGGGCCACACTGCTTCCTGGAGGCCTGGGGGTGTATCCATGGCTTTTGCCAAGGTGGGTTGTGGCAAACGGGTCACCGGGAATAGGAGACAGGTTTTCAAAGAGCATATAAAGGAAAGAAAAGAATAAAGGGGTGGGGGGCACATGATTCAAAATCCCCTCTGCAGCAAGCTCTTGTAACTGCATGTCCAGCACCCCCCTTCCTCGCACCTTCCCTTTTTACATCAACATTCAATCATCTTTTCCCATTCACTTCATCTCTTCCATTTTTATCTTACGCTGCCCGTGAAAATTGGTGTGAAATAAAAAGGCAACTCTGCCTACAGATGTAATCAATTGATTTGGCAGGTAGCCCACAGGCACCTAGAAAGAGGACAGCCAATTTTCAGTGGACATCCTCCCCCGCTTCTTTTTCTTTCTCTACTTCCTCCCTTCCAGGCTCTCCGTCCCCCTCCTTTTATTTTTCTGTCTCCTTCCTTTTGGCCTTCCTTTGATCTTCTTGTTATTTTCTGCTTTGTATTTAACGGAATTAGACCAGCCTATGAATTTCCCCCCATTCTTTCTTTCTTCTTATTTTATATAACAGGCAGCGGAGGGGAAGGTGTCTGTCTTGCTCGGCTTTCTATCTCTGCACGAGGCCGGGAGAGCTCAGTGTTCCCAGGGGCCTTGTCAATCTTCCTGTGGAGGTGGAGCCACGCTCAACAACATCTTGAAGGATCCCAACCTCCTGCCCCAGATAGAAGATGGACCTACAAAACAAGTCCTAGAGTAGAATGGCTCTTCGTCATCCAGGAGAGGAGACGTTCTATGCAGGAGGATTATTTCTTTTCATTCATTAATTCACTTATTAAGCATCGCTATTGGCCAGGCACAGGGGATACAGAAATGAAGAAAGCTGGTAAAGATCCTGCCCAAGTACATTGCCTGGCACATAGTAGGTACTCGGTAATCTCTGGCTACTTTTGGCTATCATTCTTCTGGAAGTATCAATGATAGTGCAAGATATTTACTCATGTTCAGTAAATGTTAGTTTCCTCCCTTCTGAGATACTATCTCTGTTTATTGGTCTTGGTTATTGGTTTAACACAAAAAGAATAGAGGAGTGAAATTAAAATGTTCACTCTGGCCTAGTCTAGATTAGAAGATAGTCATTAGACAAAAATAAACATGTAATTAAAAATTGTGATAACTGGGATAAAGGAAAAGCACAGGGTGATACAGGAGGATTGAATTTAGAAAGGGGTGGGGGAGGAATCTGGAGCCTGCATCTTAAAGAAGCATCATGTAACCCAGTGGCTCTCAAAGTGGAGTTCTCTCAGCCACAGAAGCAGCAGCATTAGGAACTTATTAGAACTCTACATTTCCAGGCTGCCCAGAACTATTGAATCGGAAACTCTGGGTACCAGCCTTTCTAGGTAACTCCAATACTCCCAAAAATGTGAGAACTGCTCATGAAGCTGAGGCTGGAAGGAGGAGTGGAGTTGGCCAAGTGGTGGGGAGAAAGAAGGCTTTCCAGGTGGAGAAGACAGCATGCCAGGGTCCAGAGGCAGGAAAGACCGCCAGGCTGGTATGTAGAGAGAGTGTGCAAGAATCAGACCCTTCAGTGCCTTAGAATGACTGGAAAGAGGGTGCATTTTTTCCTAAGTCCACCAGGATCCCCTAAAGCCAGGGTTCCAGTCCGTGGCCTGTTAGGAACCCGGCCATATAACAGGAGGTAAGTGGTGGGTGAGTGAGCGTTACCACCTAAGCTCTGTCTCCTGTTAGCTCAGCAATGGCATTAGATTCTCATAGGAGGCTGGGCACAGTGGCTCAGACCTGTAATCCCAGCACTTTGGGAGGCCAAGGCAGGTGGATCACTTGAGGTCAGGAGTTCAAGACCAGCCAGGCCAACATGGTGAAACCCTGTCTCTCCTATAAATACAAAAATTAGCTGGGCATAGTGGTAGGTGCCTGTAATCCAAGCTACTTGGGAAGCTGAGGCACGAGAATTGCTTGAACCTGGGAGGTGGAGATTAGATTGAGCCGAGATTGCACCACTGCACTACAGCCTGGGTGACAGACAGAGCGAGACTCTGCCTCAAAAAAAAAGATTATCATAGGAACACAATCCCTATTATGAACCGTGCAATGCAAGGGTTCTAGGTTGGGCACTCTTGGTAAGAATCTAATGCCTGATGATCTGAGATGGAACAGTTTCATCCTGAGACCACCCCACCCCATCCCACCCATGGAAAAATTGTCTTCCATGAAACTAGTCACTGGTGCCAAAAAGGTTGGGGCCCACTTACCTAAGGGGTTCTAAGCAGACAAATGAAACCATAGGATGTCAATGTCATAGAATCCCATCACCACCCACAGCTGACTCCCAGCTGCTCCTGGCCACACCTGCCCCATTGGAGGGGCCCCTTCTTAGCCCCTGAGAAAATGGCACTCTTGGGTGGTGTGGGAGGTCCTAGTAGAAGGTTCTCGCTTTTCATTCCATGCCTTTTGAGACCTGATGGGATTTTCTGTCATCATATCATATTTATTTTTACCTCTATTCAAATATCAATAAGCGGCATCAAAACAGTGGGATCACCAGCTATTTTGGTTTCTGCTCCACAAGTTCCTGAATTTTATGAAATAAAAACTAACAAAATTTTATAAGGCCAATATTTGTCAAATATTTTTATAAGTCAGGTTTTTTTTGGAGACTTCCCTCTCCATTCATTTAACAAAATTTTTTGAGCACCTGCTGTGCCCTGGGCAAGTGCAGTCATGAGGATAGAAACAGCGACCAGCATTCTGCCTCCACGGAGAGTCCGTGCTCATGGCAGGAATCAGACCAACAAAGTCCAAGAGCAAAATACATCTCAGAGTTTGCCTAGGAAGGGGAGCGAGGCATGCCAGGTTGGGCTGGTCAGGGAAAGCCTGAGAAGGCAGTGGCTGCGCACAGCCTTGGGGAGAGGAGCCAACTGGGGGATGGGCAGGCGGGTAAGGGTGGGAGGCTCTTGAGAGCAGGAACAGCAAGCTCCAAGGTACTGAGCAAGAGCAGGAAAGGAGACATGGCTTAGTGGGAGGAGGAGGAGAGGACAGGGAGGAGTTGGGAGGAGCCTTGTGGGCCACCAGGTGGATTTTGGCTTTTACACCTAGTGACACAGGAGCCCAAAGGCAGGGCAGTGGGAATTCTGACATTCTGAAGGGGCCATTGGGCTGCTTGCTGAGAACAGCTTGTGAGAAGGGCAGGGCAAGGAGGAGAGAAGAGAGCTAGCAGGAGGACCTCCTTCTACGATACAGGTAGGAGCAGATGGGAGCCTGGGCTGGAGCAGCGGAGGGTGGGATACAGTCAGACACTGGATGGTCTCTGAACTGAGCACCAACAGGATCTGCTGCTGGGCCAGGTAAGGGATGAGAGAGGAGGTTTGTGGATGATCTGAGTGATGAAAAGATAGCACTGCCACTCATGAGACTGAGGAAGGCTAGGGGAGAGGCTGGCATTTCTAGGGGAAGGAGTTGCTGGTTAATTCAGTGTTGGGTATGTGAAATTTGAGATGCCACTGTGTTGGTTTGGATGTCCCAAGAGGCGGATGCCAAGACAGGACTGGATACTTACTGGGGGGAAAGGCTGTGAAGGACAAAGGGGAGGAAGTAGAAGCTGGCAGACTGCCATGCAGGCCTGGCCCCCATGAAAGAAGAGGGGGATGGAAGGAGGCCTGGGAGAAATAGCTTCCAACTGCAGCACAGCTCCCAGAGCATTCATTCAAGCTGATGGGAAGTCCTTGAGCCAAAGCCTCCTGTGGGGTATCCAACATCCCACAAGTGTGGGCCTGCCCTGGCATCGCCCCCTCTAACCCCATCCCACCTGCTCAGCTGTTGGCTGGGAGAAGCCCACATCGTGTGTGGCATCAGCATGCCACAGGGGCAGGCCCAGTGGGGCAGCAGTGAGGTGTCGGTCACCATGGTCCCCTTAACAGGAGGTATGAGTGGAGCAATTTTACAGCCTCCACAGGCTATTAGACACGTAAGTGGAGATATCTAGTAGGCAGTTTAGATATATGAGTCTGGAGTTCAATGCAAGGTTCAAGGAAGAGATAAAAATTTAAGTGTCTTCAGCTTATAAATGGTATTTAAAGGCACGAGAATGGATGAGTGTGTGTACAGCTGGCGGGGACAAGCACTCCAAGGACTGAGTCCTGAGGCACCTCTGCATTTAGAGGAGTCAGCAACAGTGGCCAGGGAGGTGGGAGGGAAACAGGAGTCTGTGCGGTCCTGGAAGTCCAGTCAAGGAAATGTTTCGTGGAGGAGGGAGCACTTCCTTTCAGAAAACCGCCCATCATGCTGGTGAGCATCCTCACGGGCCGAGCAATTTGCTAAGGACTTCGTGTGCAGTACCACACTCCACGGCTCTTCTTCCCTGTTTTGGCTGCTGTGGTGTGCTGCCCAGATGCCCTCTCAGGGCCAACACAGCCATTCTCCAGTTGCTGGGAGTGTTGGCTGCTGATGCTGAAGGTCACACCGCCTCCCCGGGGACAGCCTGTACCCAGCGACAGGTTGACACAGCCTCTCTGCCACAATTTGGGACACCTCAAATAGACCATCTGGCTTACAAGCTCTTAATGGGACCAGCTGAAGCTGCCAATGTAGCTACAGAGTCAGGCAGATTCCTCCATCAGAGCAAAGAACCACTGACTGCACGGGGCTGGGGGTATGGGGTGCTACTTGCTATGTCTTATCTTAAAGAATCTGTTGGATGCTTTGGTGAGAAACAGAAACTCACAGACTCTCTGGCCAGTCCATTGTAAGCTGTGACCCACTTTACCCTCTCCTGACACTCCCAGCTTCCCCACCACTTTTCCTCTTTTCTATAGCACTTACCATCTACCAACCTATGATTTAATTTCCTTAATTATTGGTCTACTGCTGATTATTCACCTTCCTTCTTTCCTAGAATGTCAGCTCTAGGAGGGCAGGGATATTCATCCATTTTATCCACTGATGTATCCCAAGTGCCTAAAATGCTGCTTACTGCATAGCAGGTGCCAATATGTATGCACAAAATGAGTTCCTGATGAGCTGACCTTCAAGATCTCACAGCCCAACTCTCACATTTTTGCTGAATCCCACCATCCCACATGAACAGAATGAACCAGACCTCCAAACCCACAGAGGCAGCTAGGACTTACCATGGTCAGGATGCAGCCTCCTCACCTGCAAGGTGAGATGCCGGGGATGGTTCATTCACAACATGGTCACAAGGAGACACCTCGAAGCCTTCCTGTAATGCTGTCAAAGAGGCTGACCCTATGATTGGAATCAACAGTCCAACGTGAGTCTGAGGTCCTGTTTCAGAGGTATCCACAGCACCTAAGGGGTGCTGGAGAGGGGGTTCTTTGAGAACAGCACACACTGAACTCCTACAGGAGGAGAAGACAGACCCATTTTAGACTGATGGCTGCTCTGGAGTAGGGGACTTGTGAGATTCCTGTGCTAGAAAAAAGAGGCTCAGTCATTCCTCCTGGTAAGTAGGCACGGCTTTCAATGGGAAACCCTGCCTTCGCTATTTCCTAGCCACGTGGCCTCAGCCAAGTCAAAAAATATCCTGGAACCTCATTATCTGTCATTACCTGTCAGATGGGAAATGAGTAAGATTATGTGTCTGAAAATGTTTCATAAATTCCAAGGCAGCGGTTCCCAGACTTTGAGGTTTCACAGATCAGGAACATTTCCAGTCATCTGGAGCTGACATAAGGATTCCAACTTTCTGCTTCGCCACCTAAGGACGTTGAAACACAAGCAAGCAATGAAGTGGTGGCTTGCCCATCGTCACTATTCTGTATCGAAGGCAGAACACACTCTATGCTAAAAATGGAAGAAAGCCAGCAATCGGAGCAAAAGATCATCCTTGCAGCTTGAAAAAAAGGTGAACTTCAAGGCAAAACTCACTGGCTTGTCCTTCATTTTCTCATGTTGCCAGAAACAAGGGGTTTTCCTCTGCGAACATGGTGAAATGATGAAATGAGAAGGCTGGGATGGCACATCCAGGTAAACAAGAGAAGCTGCCCGCAATGGAGGTGGACCCAGAGCTTCAGGCTCCCAGGGGCTGAGGGGGTCAAGGTCTCCACCCACCTGACACCCATTTGAAGCATGCTGGGGCACAAAGCTACTGCAGGTGGGAAGCTTTCTGTAGGGTTCCCTGTGGAGGACAGAGTAAAGAGCTTCTCTCCACAGGAGTGGGCTGGGAGCCAGGGCCTGGTTAGCAGAAATACAACATTTATGCAATCAATCCTGAGTGCCAAGCACTGTGCGAAGGGCTTTGAAGGTTACAGGAAGGAATGATTATCATTCATTTTGCAGCTTAGGAAACTGAGGCACACAGAGGTTTCCATTCCTTCCCCAAATCTCACAGCTAGTCAGTGGCAGAGCCGAGGCCCTAATTCAGCCAGCCTGGTTGCAGAGAAGTGTGTTGAACCATTCACTCCAAGGCATGACCTCCAGAGCGACAGATGGGGTGCTCTGCTCATGCAAAGGCAAATTTCTAGCAGAATCCACCCTGATCCTGATGCTCACGGGCTGGCATGTTGGACGCAAGGCAGCAAAGCGACTATGAGTTTCCCACTGGAATGGGTTGGACAGTGACATCCACAAAGGTATGTCCAAGTCTCAAATTCCTGGAATCTGTAAAGGGGACCCTATTGACCTTATTTGGGGAAAGGGCTTTTGCAGAGGTAATTGAGACCTTGAGATGAGGCCTGGGTGTGATGTCTCAGGCCTGTAATCTCAGCACTTTGGGAGGCTGAGGCGGGCGGATTGAGTCTATGAGTTCGAGATAAGCCTGGGCAACATGGTGAAACCCCATCTCTACAAAGAATACAATTAGCCGTGGTGGTATGTGCCTGTGGTCCCAGCTTCTCGGGAGGCTGAGGTGGGAGGATTGCTTGAACCCAGGAGGCAGAGGCTGCAGTGAGCCGAGATCACACCACTGCACTCCAGCCTGGGCGACAAAGCCAGACCCTATCTCCACCTCTCCCCTCCCCCGCCCAAAAAAAAGGGCTGAGCATAGTGGCTCACACTGTAATCCCAGCACTTTGGGAGGCCGAAGCGGGCAGATCACAAGGCCAGGAGATCAAGACCATCCTAGCCAACATGGTGAAACCCCATCTCTACTAAAAATACAAAAATTAGCTGGGCATGGTGATGTGTGCCTGTAATCCCAGCTACTCAGGAGGCTGAGGCAGGAGAATTGCCTGAACTAGGGAGTCAGGATTGCAGTGAGCTGTGCTGTCCTCCAGCCTGATGACAGAGCAAGACTCCATCTCAAAAAAAAAGAAAAAACAATCTTGAGTCATCCTTGACTTAGGGAAGGCCCTAAATCCACTGAAGAGTGTTCTCATATGGGACAGAAAAGAAACAGACACAGAGATACAGAGGGGAAGGCCACAGACAGAGGCAGACACAGAGATACAGAGGAGAAGGCCACAGACAGGCAGGAGCTGGAGGGAGGGGCGTCTGGGAGCCAAACTGCACCAAGGACTGTGAAGCGGGGAAGAGAAGCCCGGAAGAGAAGCCTGGGAAGGGATCCTCCCTTATAAGATAACTGTGCTGACAACTTGAATTTCGACTTCTGGCCTCCCGAATTGTGGAGAAATACATTTGTGTTGTTTTGAGCCACCAATGTGTGGTACTTTTTAAAAGCAGCCTCAGGAAACTCACACATCCACTTTCTGACTTCCTCCGCGCCAGCTTCCAAACCTCTCCCCCACGAGAGGATCAGAGGATCCTCTGGATCCAGCCCCGGAGCAGTGAGCTGCCCCCGCCATGCACCCCCCTCCCGTTCCTCACATTCATCCTCCACCGAACCCACCGACAAAGTTTTTAATCGGTGGGTGAGATCCCCATAGCAACGGCTCCCATGCCAGAACCCAGGATTATGACACTGGATCAGCCAGAGACGCGCTGGGGGGTCCGGGAGGGGCTGCTGCAAACACGGTCGGCCGATGGGCGGCGGCACGCGGTGAATCACCGGGGCTTATGGGATTTTAGAGACAGCACAGGACAAACCCGCGGGGTCGGGGATAATCTGCAGGTGCCAACACTAAACGGCCAGGCCAGGAGGCTCCTCCCGCGTCCTGGGCCCACGATGTGGCCCCTGCGCGGGGACAAAGACAAGACCCTTGCCCTCCCATGCTCCCAAAGCCACCCACCCTCCTCAGGGGGCCGCCCCCTCCGCCGCCTGGGAGGGCCCCATGCGCCCGGGCCCCTGAGGATGTCCCTTTGGGGATGTGCCTGACCGTGCGTTCCCCGCCCTCCACCATCCACCCGCCTTGCTCTGCCCGTGTGGACGTGACCCCCGGTTCAGACACTAGCTGGTGCTTGGGGCTGCCCAGGGCAGAGGTCGGGACGGGACCCTCTCTCGGCCTCTCGACCCCCAAGGCCCCCTGCCGGCTCCCTCAGGCTCCCACGTCCCACTGGGGCTCGTCTCCACAGTGGGTCAGCACATCCCTGCCCCATGCCCTCCACAACTCCTCTCCACCCAGGCTCCTGTCACCCCCATGGGGTTCATACCCTCCCGTCCATCAACCTTCCCCAGCCCGACCTGCACCTTCCCACGGAAGTCCCCTCCATGCACACACCCTACACTCGTCCACACATTTACACACACAAACCCTCACAGTCACACATCCACACCCTCAGTCAAATGCAGACACCCCCACACTCACACGTACACATTCACACACACGCACACACAAACGCAGGCACCCCCACACTCACATGTACTCCCATTTACACACACCTTCACAAACATTCACGCCTTCACACATACAGTCAAATGCAGACACCCCCACGCACACATATACTCACATATTACACACACCTTCATGAACATTCACACACCCTCATACACACACACACAAATGCAGACAACCCCTAAACTCATACACACAGTCACACACCCTCACACACACATACACACACAATGCAGACCCACTCACATACTCATGCTCACACACACACACAATGCAGACACCCCCCACTCACACATACTCATGCTCACATTTATATACACACCCCTCACACATATTCACACCCTCTCACACACCCTCACACAAAAACGCAGACGCCCCCATACTCACGCTCACACATTTACATGCTCACACACACATTTACATATTGTCACACACACACATTCACATACTCTCATACATTCTCACACACACCCCTCACACATCCTCACATATTTACATATACCTTCACACTCATATACACCTTCACATTCACATTCCCACATGCTCATGCCGTCACACACTCATATTCACACACCCTAACACGCACACACAGTCACACACACCCTCACACACACAATCACATACACACATACGCAGACACACAGGCACACATTCATGCACATATTTCACACAGATTCATTCATGCACAGACCCCACCCCACACACAAAATCACACCACAAAGACACATATAAACATACATGCACACTCATTTACACACAACATACACTGACACACAAACTCATTCACACATACACAGTCACACATACCACAAAAACTCAGACACACCACAAAAACTCAGACACATATATGCCCACACACATTCACACACTCATGCAAGATACAGATACACAGACACATGCAGACACACACACCAACCCACACAGACCACTCACTGATACCAATGCACAAACACAGGTGCACTCATTTGCACACCACACAGACCCACTCACACACCAGTACACATACTGGCACACTCATACAGACCTATAAACACACACAGACCCACCCACACTCACACAGACATACTCATTTGCACACCCACTCAGCAATACACAGACTCACATTCACACACATGACACAGAGACAAACACAGGAACACTCACACTCATTCTCAACACAGGCACATTCACACACACCCTATTATGCATATTCCCTCAACAATGCTTACACATACACACAGAGGCACACACACACACACACACACACACCTCATACTGAAGCCCAGGCAGTGTTTACCAGCTACACAGGCACTGTGAACAGTGGAGTGTCCACAGGTGTGCTCAGGTCAGGCGGGTGAGATCTCAGCAGAGGCATCATGAGCCCGAGGGCACCTTGGTGGCAAGAATGGCCACCTACTGTTTCTCTCCATCTTTCCTTCCCCTCTCCAAGTCATGCAGCACAATGCAGAGCACACAGTAGGGTCTTCGTGTTTCTTCAATGAGCAGACAGGAGCTACCCAAGCTTCAGTGAACGTAAGAATGCGTAGTGGCCACCATTTTACATTTTGAACTTGGAGCTTCAAAACAGCCTTGGGTGAAACCCCTGGGCCATTCTTCAAACAAGGAGAATGGAGAAGGTCAACGTCCTTAACTGTCGGCGAGTATTCCACGTGCTTTCTGACTCAGAGCCCTGATGGACAAAATCCCTCTTCCAAGAAACTCCCTGCATCACTGCAGGCACTGTGTGTTTGGCACAAGTAGACTTTCAACTTTCGGTTGTGGCATGAATAAATACATGACTGATTCAGCAAGCAGTTTTCCCTGCACCTTAGCACAGGTCCGGGTACAATGAAGGCCTCAGTCCAGGTGGGCTGGTGGTGGGGTGGGAGCGGCCTTTAAAAGATGGGAGTTCTTGGCTGGGTGCAGTGGCTCAAGTCTGTAATCTCAGCACTTTGGGAGGCCGAGGCGGGTGGATCACGAGGTCAACAGATCAAGACCATCCTGGTCAACATGGTGAAACCCCGTCTCTACTAAAAATACAAAAAATTAGTTGGGCATGGTGGCACGTGCTTGTAATCCCAGCTACTCAGTAGGCTGAGGCAGGAGAATTGCCTGAACCCAGGAGACGGAGGTTGCGGTGAGCCAAGATCGCGCCATTGCACTCCAGCCTGGGTAACAAGATCGAAACTCCATCTCAAAAAAAAAAAAAAAAAAAAAATGGGAATTCTGCCTCAGAGCTAACTTCTTGGCCAGACACCTGTAATCAAAGCACTTTGGGAGGCTGAGGTAGGAGGATCACTTGAGCCCCTCAAGTGATACTGCAAGTGATATTGCAGTGAGCCATGATAGCACAAGATGTTGTCTCAAAGAAACAAAAACAAAAAGAAAGAAAACCCGAAAAACCAAAAACCTCACTTCTAAGGCACTTTCTGGAATCGTCCCACCCCACTCTGATCTCCATCTTTATTGGGCATCTTTTTGGTAAGTAATGAATTCAACCTGAGCCCGATTCCTGTGTGGGGTTAGCCATTTCACTCTCTGGATGTGTGAGTATGTGTAAACCTATCGCCATCACCTCTTCTCCATTAATCTGTAATTCCTCCTGAGCAGATCAGGCTGTTTCCATCAAGATGTCTTTAGCAACGACAACACAACTCTGCCAGCAGCAAGTATCCAGCCAGACACCTGGGTCACCCCCTAGTTGGAGGGTGCTAGAGAAACTCTGGGGTGGGCAGCTCCACCTCAGATGCTTCCTGGAGTAGATGTTCTGGCTGGCATCCATGGGGATGGAAAATGAGAAGAACTTCCTTAGCCACTGTCACACGTCTTCCCCTTTATGGGAAAGTGTCTGAGTGCTGGTTATTTTCAGACCGTAGGAAAGTGTCTAATTGCCTTCCTGGAGAGCCCCCACTTATAGAGAAGATGGCAAGGCTGTCAGAGAATCCAATGTCACATTTCCTGAAAACAGGAGGAAAGGCGGGCCACGGGAGGAACCTCAGCAGGTGCAGAATTGGAACTGCCAGACCGAACTACTTTTTCCCATGTTGCAACCTTGGCTGCCATGCCCCGACTCCCCTTACTCCTGCTTCTAGAGGAAAAGGAAGGGAGGAAAGTGCACGAATTTTCCAGAAAGATCCAGAAACTCCCCCAAATGGCCAGAAGTCTCCAGGCTCGTATATGCATGCAGTGGCGCAGTGTAGTAATTTGCTCCAACTACCTGGGTGTACCCTCGATTCTGGTTGGATGAAACCGAATCAATGAAGCAACAGCACAGAGTCCTCCAGTGTTGGAGCTGAGGCACTCCAGAGGGTACAATGCCTTCGTTCCCTAATTTTCTTATCTGTGCAGTGGGGTGGTAATAGCGCCCACATCATAGGTTGCTGTGAGGACTCGGTGACTCAGACCATATAAAATGCTCGGCATGGCGCCTTCCACAATGACTGCTGCAGAATGGCTGATGGTGATGATGCCAATGATGACGGCAAAGAAACTACTCCTTGCCCAAGGCCACCGGGGCCACTTAGTGACAGAGCTGCAGTTAGAACAGGGGTCTCTCCAAGTTAGGCCAGGCTGGATTGCCTCGAAGCCGGTTCCTGGTGCTTTTGGATCTTCACGCAGATCGCCTCTCCCCAGGCCCAGCTGAGCAGCATCAGGGCATCAACAGAACCAACAGTGCCCCCTGCAGGCCTTGGCCTCCTGGGACTGTTCAATTCAGGACTGACAGCCACTGGAAGCAGAGGGAATGTTTGCCTCCAAAGTTACCTGTCTTCTTCCCTTCTCTCTCCTCTTCTTGCCAATCTTCTTAGCACCCAGGATTTAGCACAAACATGGGAGGAGGGGACACGATACCTAGGTTCCAGGACAGTTTAGCCACTGGCTGGCTCTGTGGGTTCAGACAATTTCCCTGACCGTCCTGGGCCTCTTTCCCAGAGGACTTTCAACGTCCTAGACAGCTGCCAGGTCCAAGGATAGCCTGAGCTCCTCTAAGCTCTAACCAGCAGGAGGTCAGGATGTACCTTGCTGCAGGGTGGGGTGATTTGGGTGCCCCAACAGCGTATTCAGAGGGTCCAACCTCAAGTGCGTTTCCAGAGGGTCCGGCATGAAGGGCATTTCCAGAGGGTCTGACATCAA